AAGGAATAAATTACAGACACAAAGCCAAATTCTTCAATGTTACAACTATCTCTAAAGATATACAAAGGATATGTAAACAGTATAAAATTCAGAAGCCACAACATAATAAGTCAGTAAGTAGATATAAGTGTGCATGGTGTGCACTCATATCTCCTTAATGACCTGTGATTTCTGGTAAGTCCCACCATCCAAAATTATGTCAAATTGAGAGTATTGTTAGTTGCATGTAAATAAGGTATAATAGGCTCACATGTATCAGCCTATGCATGGCTGTACCAAGGGTAGTGAGGTTGGTGTGCATGCGCGGAGTGCCAACTTATAGGGGATGCGAGTTTACATCTTTGAAGGCAAGGATAGATTAGATTTTTTTTAAGATGGGTGCAGAATTTCTCTCTCTCACCATCAATGATCAGTACAACCCTGAGCCTATGTACATACCATAAATATGTATCAATCCCCAAAACAGAACTTGAGATCTGTGTTGAAGTTAAATGGATTCTGGTTCATTACTTGATAAAACTGTGAATTGCATCTTGCTGATACTATATTGGCAGACAGTCAACATATCCCACTGCAATTTCTTGGGACACTCTAACTGAACAGTGGACTTGACTGTCACATTATAATGTTCCCCACAGCTGAAAAGGTAAGTATATTCAATGATGGAATTCGAACCTGTGACCCACAGATTGCAAACCAAGTGCCCTAACTACCAGGCCATGCTAGGCCCAGTAGGTAAACATATAGGCTACTAACCACGATATTGGATGATGTCCAATTGGCACAATGATGTTGAACAGATAGCAAGAGTTTATTAAAAAGTGACAACATCATATACGATGTTTTAAAATTTATATTTAACATATGAAAATACAGACTTTCGTTTAAATATGTTTAAACTATGAAAATCAATAACATGACTTATGTGGAAACATGATCCAGAGGTCAATTCTTTGGACTCGTAGTCAAACCGTTGGAGTTCAAGGCTTGCTCACAACATGTTGTTGTGTCCTTGAACATGATGTTTTACTCACATTTATTCAGTCTATTACTGTGTAATGAGTACCAGTTGGTAGCTGAGGGGTAACCTGTAATGGACAGGCATCCCATCCACAAGGAACATATCACAATTCTCATCTGCATGTGCCATGGGAAACTGAGTTAAGAAATAGCCTTATGTGCCTTTTGAGGTGTGACAAAGATTAACTTATTTACTTAGTGATCACACATCTGTACATTCACAAATACATTTGGTGAAAATGATTATTTTAGTAAAAACCATGTCAATTATATTCAAATTTCCTCTGTGTATAATTATAAAAGATTCCTTTTGCCTCTCTGTACAAAATAAATGCTATTGTGACTTTCTATGATTGAAAATAATTTTCACTAGCCAAAAACTGGATTAGCTAGGAAACACTCTTATTAACGTTCAATATAATAATTTTATATCATAACTTGTGAGCTTATCTGAATACTTTTCCACAATGTCCAAAGATTTCATTGCTAAAGATACTTACAAACTGTTTGGAAATAACTGTGAGGTTTACTTTTCAGTCCATAACTTAAGGCATAAACTTTAATTTCATAAATTGCACCAGGATACAAGTTACTCAAAACTAGCCAGTGATTGTTAGTGGTTTCTTCCTCCTCCTGTCCAGTATCATTTCGAATAAAAATAACTATGTATGCATCTTGGTGACTTGTAACATCAGATTTCCAGGATATGTTATAGCCTGAACTATGTGACTCTACAGTTTCAATCACAGGAGATGAAGGTCCTGGGAAGATGAAATAAAAATTCGATGAAAAAATAGAATAATAATGTATCAGGATAACATGAAAAATAAAAAATATCGAAGCCTGGTAGTTTATTCTAAGCCTAACATTACTTATAAATAGTAAGATTAAGTTAAATAAGTTCCAAGTCTGTGCAGAAACAATAATGCACATACACAAAACAGAGCTAAAAATCTGAAATATTGTGGTACGTAAGCAAAATTTTATGGATTTGATTTAATTTAACAATAAATAAAACATAAAAGCTACTTTTAAAAATGGTTCATTGCAGATCATCTGTTCATTGGATTCTTAACTCAAATTTTCTTGCTAAAATTGCCGAGTATCAAAATATTTCAGAATAAGCTGAAAAGAAATATATTTTCATTTTTAAAGCTCCAATGATGACTCTAACTCATCTAAGATACTTCAAGGCTTTTACTATTTCCAATGTTTAAACAAACATAGCTACAAATCTCAAAATCTATAAGCTGTAAATTACTTTTGTCATTGAGAATTAAAGAAACATAAGCAACTTACGTGTGATTTGATGAACCAGATTTGGATGACTATGAACATCTTTACTCACAGCAACCACACTAATTGAATAGTTTCTTCCTGGTAAAAGATCATTAATATGATAACGTGTCTCCTGAATGACTTCAACATACTTATTGCTGTTAAAGTCCTCAGTTTCTTGATATTCAACCTAAAATGAAAATAAATAGAATTAAAGTTAATCCACTTATAACCAAGATATATTTGTACATACTTGGGGATCACAAACCAAAAATAGTTTGGGGGGGATTGGTAATGTTTGACTGTCCTAAGAATGTCTTCTGTAATTTAGCTGGAAATACCATTTTTCCCTCAAAATACAGGACAAGCCTGACCCAACAGTACCATGTGAGACAATGAAAACAAAGAAATTGATGCACGAATACCATCTAAAATAGTTACTCATTATTAGACACAGAGGGCCACGAGGGTTTTGCATCAATATAAAAACAATATTCAAAATATAAAACAATTAAGATGTATTTTAGGTACATTTTGATTTGTTCTCAACTGACTCCTCAATATTATTATTATTTGATTCATCACCAGCAACAATGCTTGAAAAAGCTCTCACATACAAATACTGATTCTTTGCAGAATCTTTTCACTTGCTTTTTACTTTGTAAATGATGCAACTGCAAATAAGCTAAAGATTAAATAAGACAATTGAAAGGTTTTCATGTAGAAATAAAATGCTTTCATGACAGTAAAAATGTTAAAATATCTAGAAACTACATGTACAGAATAAGTTGGGTATTTGACATTAATTAAGATGTCAAGATAAAGATATAATTGGAAAAAATAGTTTAGTTTCTACAGATACTATCAACTGGCACATTCTTAAAATTATAGTACAAATACAATTAGAAAGCCCATAACAAACATAGCAGTCATGGTTTAGCATCAAAATAGTTAATACCAACAGCACTATGGCAACATTCCAAATCTGAAGAGAATAATTACAAGAATGTCTGCTGCATTACATAGAAGTAAAGATAAATTTACTTCATAGGACACTTTTCAACATTAACATTACTGTGAAGAAAATTTAATTTTATGTTTACCTTATGGAAAAGTTACATGCATTTTTATGCAGATACTAATTTCAATACCGTGATTTTAATTATGAAAGTATTTTAAGCTACATGTGCAGTTTGAGAAACACTTGTTATAAACTACAGTATATTTCAAAGATGCTGCTCTCAGTGTTGAATTAATATGGTTATACTCTTGTTTTTACTTATTTAAGTCAAATAATACCTGTCAAAATGATAAAATATTTTACCTAAGATTGTTATATATTGATTATATAATATAAATATCTTCAGTTAAACAAATGTATTATCAGGAAGAAATGAAGTTATGCCTATAAGTATTTACATGTAAATGACCATCCAATGTAACTGTGTAAGCCTACACTAAACTGAAAATCAAATTCACAGTTTACTCCAGTATAACAGACACAATGTGATGTATATGTTATATATTAGTACTTTTGGTAATGTTACAAGTCTAAATAGAATTTCAGTGTAATGGGGAGTGAAAATAAATATCAAGAACAAGTTTGTTTGTTTTTCCAACACAACATATAATCCAAACTGAATAGTGAATATTTACAAGTGTAGAATTAAGAAAACAAAGTTATAAACAAATGACTCTGGTTGAAGTAAATACTACTTAAAATTATACACAACTACACATCTTAAGCTCAATATTACAAGAATTCAACAATGCTTCATATTAAAGCTAAAACAGCTCACATTATGTTATGAGAAATACTTATTACAGTTTTTAATAAAACTGAAAGGCTCATTAAGAGGGTAGCTTAAGTTTGGAATATTTATTAACATTGAAATATAAATACAATATTTGAAACATCAACTAAAATGTCTTTGTATCATATTAAACATGAATACGTTTTATAATTTCAAAAGATATTTATTTGCTAGAGCTAAAGATAATATTTTTTATTAGTCAAGTCAAATACAATGAATAATGTTAATATAAGCTATCTAATTTGGAATCAAGAAATCTAATTGTTTAAAAACAAATTGGACAGATCCAAACCACATGGTCTCAAAATATTTGGCAAAGGTTTCTGCTGATGAATGTTTTGGGACAAATGCCAAAAAATACTTCACTTACTTATTGTTTACACAGTTTAAAGAAGAGACATGTAAAAAACAATTACACTGAAGGACACTGGAAAAGTATGCTCACATACAAGCATAATTTTCATGTGGGATGAAAGAGACTTGTCCTCCATACTTTTTCAAGGCTAGAATTCCTTTCTTTTATATATATATATATATATATATATATATCAGCTAC